CTCTCTGCAGGGTTTTTCTACCCACCCCTGACAGCCCCTTGAACATCAATATCTCCTACCTTAAATCACCATCCCCAGCCTCTACATAATCCTTTCAACCTCTGTTCCTTACCAACAAACAGTTGAGCCTAGATAAAGGCAGCCCCACTTATCTGCCGGCCAGCCAATGCGGTGCTGTCCAAGATAACACAGCTCGGCTGAACTCAACATGGACATGGGAGGTCATGGGGAGGTCCTTGAGTAAATGAGGTCTTATTACCTCTCAGAAACCACTGTCATGAAGGCAGAGGATTCGACTACGGGTGTGTATCTGAGCCTGGTCTCTGGAGGCTAGCAGCCCCGACAGGTTTGGGGGATCCAGAGTGTTTAGAATTGGTTGAGTTTGAAGTTACCTCTGAGAGGCTCAATGAACTGAGATCACTACACAGTTTTCATCTGGAAAACAAGCTATACAGGCTTGCTGTTAGAAATAATAGTAACACTGTCTTCTCCCTGCACCCCAGCACCCGACAGGATGCTAGTGTGTGCTGCTCCCTCTGTCTGCACTCTCAGGGTATGCAGGCTCAGGGAGAGGAGCAGACCTTGGTTGCAGAGCCCCCTGGGCCCAGGTGTAGGTTCCACCAACTACTATGCATGACCTTGAGAAAGTTGCTTTTCTGGGCTCCAGTCCCTTATCTGTAGGGAACAGTAATAGTTCCTGTGACACAGCCTCGCTATGAGGATTAAATCAGAAATTTCAGGCATGTGCTAGAGCTGGCATCGTGCCAGGGTAGAAGGGCGATTAGAGAGGACAGGTGTTTGGGACAGAGTGACAACTCTGGCCAACCGCTCTATCCTTCCTGGGTACTTCTAAGGGGGTTGATCTCAACTAGAAGCAAAGGGAGCATACATGGATATGCTGTAGATCCAGTAGCAGGGGACAGACACACAGTTAGTGTCAGGAGCTAACACAACCTCGGGAGGCCTGGTGGGCTTCAAAGAGAAGCATTCAGGAGTAGTGGTCAAAGCCTGGGATAAGTAAGATGGTCTGGAAGGTAGACAGGAAAAGGAGACATCCTTGTCCCTTGCCCATTTAGCCAGACTGTTCTTCACTGTGTGCTTTCACCCTTCCTCAAAGACTCTCTGTTAGTTCCTATGGCAACCAACCAGGGGTTACTGTTATCCCCACTTTACAGATGCAGAGCCTGAGGCTAAGCTATTCTGTGACTTGTTAAGGTCACAGAGAGCAAGGGGATATAAAAGGACAGAAATCTCTGGGCTTTCAGAGCTGGTGCTGTGTTCTGGGGATCACTGAGACCCCGGGAGGCTTTAGTGTCCACACCACCTATACATTTCTGTAACAAGTGAAGGCAAAGGGCAGCAAAATAAGACCAATTACTTTGGATCCCTTGGTGTGGGGTTTTGTGAATCATGTCAACCAATGAGCAAGTATGGACAATCTCCAGCTTGCAAGCCCAGGCTCAGAAGCTGCTAGGAGGTGGGAAGTGTAATGTCTGCTAACTTGGAACAGACAGTGACTTGTGTTGATTTTTCTAAAATTCTCACCCAAATTCCAGGTGCCAGCAGCCCCTGCTTTTATTTCCAGGAACTCTTCCCCACTACACTCCTACTGTTCCTTTTCTTTGTTTGTTTCTTGCTTCTCTTTTTAATGCAGGGAGGTGTGGAGATTAGAAGAAGCAAACAACCAAACAAACATAAATCTAGTGGTGCACTGAAGTAGGACCTGCTCCAGCAAACTGCCTCGCTGAGTCTGAGTGGTTTTTCTTGCCTGGCTGGACTTCAGTGTGCCTGTATAGGTTAGAGGATTTGTCACTGTTAGTGACAACCACTGATGCCCTGGCTGAGGGGACTGTGTGTGGTCACATCTCGCTTCAGGGGGTGTCAGAGAGGAAGGGGTACAGCAGGTTAGTTTGTCCCTGACTTTTAGTGGCTTTCAAACAAGAGCATTTCACTGGGCAGGCCACCTCAGCTGACCTTTGCGTATTGTTTCCTCAATAAATTCATGCCTGTGTATTGAAAACCCCAAAAGAAGGCCCAGGGTGGGAAGGAGGAGCAGGAGAAGCCACTCTCTTGCCATCTTTGGAGTGCCAGCCCTCTTTGGTTACTAAGTGGGACTCTGACAACAATCTCATGGCAGCCTTGTGTATTCATTTTCTTTATTCCCTAATTCTTCCTAGACCCTCCTGTTTCCCTCCTTTATAGACCTATTGTGCAAGATTCTTGCCTTGCTCTTTATTCATTTCTAGTCTAGGAGGGGGCTTAAGCTAAATGCATACACTCAACAAAGCGGCAAGACCACAGGGCCACACAGCAGAGGACAAATGATCACATGCAAATGGAGACTCTTCCTTTAGACGGGGCAGAGGATTTGAACCTGGAGAAGTAGGTGAAGGGATTTCCATGGATGGAGATGACAGCACTCAGCTTTTTGAGCAGAGGGAGCTAGATGGTGGCGTCTGTGGTTGCTCAGGAGATGAACAATATTTGGCAGCAGAGCTGAGTGTGATTGGGAGGTGAAGACTGTGAACCAAACTGTAGGAGCCCCATTGCCTTGAGTGGCCATCTTAATGGGTATTTTTGTTGTTGTTGTTGTCTACAGCTCACAAGGTTGCCAGCCTTCGAGTGTGCAAACACCAAGAACTGTTGAGTCTTTGGTACCGCCTTACAAGCAAATTCCTGGGCTTACCAGAGCTTCCAGCTTCATAGAGATCAACACCCAGAACTGAACAGCTCTTGAGTAATTTCAATAAACATCTAACCAACACATATCGGCCATGTGCCAGGGCCTCTGCTGATGCTAGACTGGGGCAGGATGTCAGAGATGGACATTCTCTCAGTTGTGCTGCAGAAATTCAGAGAGCCCTTCCAACCGGCCTTGTGGGTAAGCAGCATGAGAACCCTTCAGGTGCTGAGAGTTATTTGGCAAGCCCCATCCTGATTTTAAATGATTATCTCATTTAAATCCATTAATAGCACCCCTTATAAAATAGCTCTGAGAATTTTTGCCATTTTAGTCTACAGACATGTGCTTGGAAATGTGTATGATTGTATTAAGAATGCAACAGAGGAAGAGCTAGGAGGCTGGGTGGGGACTGAGTGCAGACAAAGACTGCCTCTATCTTCTCTGTAGCTTTGGGTATGAGGAGGAAAAGCTCCTCTAGGAAACTACCAAGTAGTGAGGAAAGCCAGTCAGGTTGGAAGTTGGGAAAGCAAAGCTTAAGGGGACCAGACAAGGCCTGATCAGGGCATGGAGGCATGCTGGCTGGCTACAGGAGGGTCATTTCTCAAGCACCTTGGCATTCTTATAGGGCATAGGCTTGGCACATGCTATGCACTTAGCAGGTACCCACTGAGTACACTTCTGCTTTCTTGTCAGTAAATTTTGAGATACGGACCAAAAGAAGCAACTGTGGATACTCACTAAATTTGGGGGAATAAAACTATTAGATTGAACTTAGATCTCCTCCTACCCCTGGCAGCTCCCCAATACAGCAGACGATAAACCTAATTCTTTCACTTAGATGTTATGATAAGTTTTAATGCAGTTATAAAACTGGTTGAGAATAGAAGCCTCCCTTTGGCGGGTTCTAGTGTGTGTGTGTGTGTGTGTGTGTGTGTGTGTGTGTGTGTGTGCATGCTTCTACTCCACCCAGCTCTCTTGCTCCAATGCAAGAAAACATGGAACATTTTCCTTGGAAGGTCAGTGGTGGCCCAGCCTCCCATTCACAGACTGGAGAAAGGGCATTAATCTTCTTGACAGGGCAGTGGTGGGGGAGGGAAATTTGGGCTGGAATCCTTTAAACTGGGAGCAGAAAGAATCTTGTCTTATTTGGCTGTGCAAATAAGCTTTGGTTTATAAGTCCAGGGCATTAAAAAAAAAAGTCATCTGGGCTTAAAGAAAATCAAGTAGCATATTAGAAAACAAATTTCACATTTTATTCCTTTAATGGGCAGACAGGGCTCAGGCTGAAGGGATTCTATGTCCACAAAGGAATTCTGAAGTACTTTTTGAGGACATCCATTTTTCTAGCAGGGTGCAGCGAGCAAGGTCAGGTGGTGTGAAGGCAGCCTGTGCTACTGAGAAGGCAGGACAGTTCTGGTGAAGCCCAGACTTAAGAGCAGAAGCTAGGATGCAGTACATTCTAAGGCATTTGCAAACTATAGTCTCTCTCTCCTACCCTAGCCCCCCTTCTCTCTCTCTCTCTCTCTATCTCTCTCTCACACACACACACACACACA